ATATTGACCAAGAGAAGGATCGATTTCTTGATTATTCAACACTAAGTGCAATTATATATTTTATTTTCATTGCTGAAAAATATTAATAATTTTAGCTTGGTAATTGGGATTAAATTTCACAAGTCGTTTTTAGCCATTCTTCATTTATAAGTCGTGATTGCTCAGCCTTTCTAAGTTCTGCACGTTTTGAAAGGTGTTTGACACGAACATGCATCATATGACAATATCCTAGAGGTACCCAATAGACCACCTGGTAGGTCTTGTATATCAAGTAAGAAAAGTTGAAGTCCAAGAATAGAGCCCTGGGGAACTCCAGCTTCCGTCCTTCTCACTAAATATACTGAAAATTTATTTTCGATCTGTTGCGATTGATTGAAAAGATAATTAGTCAACAAGGTACCAGGGTAAGAACTTCACCCGCAAATCTATGCTGTCTGTTGTTCTTTTAAACAAACCGTATTGAATGTCTTGCTGTTATCACAAAATGCAAAACAAGTTAATTCGAATTCTTTATTGTTTAACACAAACCATTTATTATGATAAATTTCTTTTAACTGGGTGACTGTTTAATGATTTCTTAAAAACCCACATAGGCGCGTAGCTGCCTATACGCAAATATGCAAGTGCATACACATAATTGTAAAAAATAAACAAATAAATATAATAGATGAATAAATAAATAAAATATATGGGAGAGAGAGAGAGTTATTCGAAGAAAAAATCTCAGTACCATCCAACAAATATTCGGATTTCGAATTATTTTGTGTCATACTGCTGAAGAGCGCTTTGAATTTTATATAATCATGACTATATAATAAAATTTGAAGTCCTTTATTAAATCATTGCCAAATTTAAATAAAGCATTCATGAACTTGTATTCGTTCTTTGATACATTGATAATTTTTGATATTTTTTAAAGATCTTTGAGAAATAAAATTTCAGACACATCCTTGAATGTCATGATCTACTACATGTAGTATATTATTTAAAATACGATATTTTTTGTTAATAATTAACATTAAGTATACAAGTTGTTGAACGATAGAAAAGAGTATGATACCAAATATCGATTAGATATTTAGCCTAAACTACATGTACACTAAGTTTCCGTAGAAGTATTAACTTTGCGTTAAAACAATAAATATTATGTCTTCTATTTCTAAACAAAAGATAAATGACATAATTTTTATTTTGCAAGAAAATGAATGATATACATGTATTTGGTAAAACTCAGAAACTTCTGGGCCCTCAACAGCAGGCATGTAGTATGGGGGGGGGGGTTCCCTGCCTATTCTTTTCCAAACCTAACTTTTGACTATTGAAAATGTTCACTGAAAGGGGGGTTGCCCCCATCCACTTTTTGTTGTAGCATAGTTAAACCATGCTAATTTGATAATATTTTTAATATAGTTTTTTGTGAAAACTGGAAATTAACCCCCACCCCACCCCCGTCGTCCTCTTCGTATACTTCACTTTTATTTGGCTACGCACCTGCCATAATGTAGTTTGCATAACAATTTACAAAGTATTTGAACATTATATTCTTTCAAAGATTTTTCCTATGCAGCATAATAAGGATGCCGGTATGTAATTAACTTGTTGAATTTGTTTTAAAGACAGAAATTACATGAGTATGTTTCCAAACACCAGGGAATTGTTCGATACGCAAAACTGTTTGAAATAAAATTTTTAGCAAAACTGCAATTTTATTTCTATTTTTTAAAAACAAAATATGGCTGAATATGTCGAGAAAAGGCTTTTAGGGATCTAAAATTTTAATGTCAATAGTTTGATACACACAAATAACTTTTTAAAATCGTGGAGCGATGACCTGGAGATAGCAAATGTATAGAAAAACGTGTGTAAATAAAATTTTGTAACAAATTCAAGGTAAATTTTAGTAAAACAACACACAATATCTGGAAATAAAAATTCCCTTTCCTATATCCAAAGAACCCAATTCAACAGTACGTGCTGAATCTAATTCAAAAGCGTTATTGGTCTTTATAATTTTGAAATGTATAATATATAATAATGGGTATTTTTAGAGGTACACAATTATATAACAGTTGCAAATAGTAGTTTCACATGCGCTAGTTTACTTATGGACCCCCATAAGTAAACTAAGTTAAAAATGGCCTAGCGGTTCCTGAGAAGTCGAATGTGAAAAGTTTACAGACAAGTGGATAGTCAGATGGGCAGACACTGGGCAACAGGTGATCATAAAAGCTCACTTGAGCTTTCAGCTCATGTGAGATAAAAATCATTAAAGCTCACTTAAACTCATAAATTTTTTTTAAAAAGAAAAATGCCACTGTCATCACAAAATTTGGGGCACAAATTTTGATTTTACTCTACAACTTTGCAATTTTTAATGTCAACTTCAGACCATATGGTCAGCTGTATAATGTACATCTATATAATTACAAAATTCTCTTGGTCCTTTCCAACAGACATCTATCTATATTAGTTGACAAACCATTTGAAATTTGCATTCACATGTTGATTAAAATAGACTATTAGATGTCTCTAGCAGGCCCGTAGGATGGGGGGGGGTGGGGGGGGGGTTATAGTATTTTGCTATAGTAAGTTTCCCTTTAGATGCTGGATGCCCCCCCCCCCCCCCCCCCACACACACACACTTTTTGATGTTGTAAGCTCCAGCACTGGCAAATTCCAGGATTTGGACAGTAAATCACCTTTCTTTTTTGCTTGTCAGATAATTTCGGGAAGTCCCCCCCCCCACTTTTGGTCAGTTTGGTTTTTTTTTTCTTTTGAAACTGTTGCTACGAGCCTGCTCTAGATAACTCACGAAAACAAAGAGTCAAATAATAGTTTTTAACCTTTATTCATTTGATCTAAAATTGACAGATTAACGAAATAATAATATAGTACATGTACCAAAACTGAGAAAAAAAAAAATTCTTGTCTTTTGCCACCACAGTATTTTTCAGGTCATATGCAATGTACATGCACTTTACAGTGAACCTTCCAACTGATAATTTTCAGAGAAAATATAATTGAAAATCATGATACCATTAGGTGTTCTTTGACAAAAAAAATCAGCATACATTACATGTATCAGGAGTTTTGAAAAAAATATCAAATGATGAAAACCCTTGCATTTTTTAAAAGAACCCCCCCCCCAAAAAAAAAAATGTTTTATGTGGTATTTTCTTCAAAATTTGATTCAGATAAGGTGTGCAAGCATTACCAGGTATCATAAAATTGCACAAAGATCTTTCAATTACTGGATTTCTTAAATTATAGAGAGAATAAGAAAATATAGTTCAAACTATACTGCGCATATCCTTAAGCCATATCATGTTAAAGACATGAAAGTCAAACACAAACTTCAGCAAACAGGAAGTCTGTGAGCCAATGCTCACTAGTAATACCCCAGCTCTGATGTGAATATACACTCTCATGAATCCCACAATATGGCATGCCTAGTCAAAGAGAGTGTCAAAATTTCAAGCATCTTTGATGAGTAGTTGCTGAGAAAACTGCGACAACAAATTGTTACAGACAGACACACAAGGGTAAATGAGTATACCCCCCTACTTCAGAGTGGGGGTATAATTATAACAACTGTCGCTTACTACTGCAAATGATCAATAAAAGATCTCTCATTACAAATTTTATCTGTTATTAATCTACAAAAATTTTCTTGATTAATATCTTTTAAAAAATAATTTTTATATAATTTCACATCTACATCCCTACTGATAAAAAAGCTTCGAGACATTGAAAGTTGCTATTCAAATTCATAATAAAGTTGTTGAATAAAATCCACATATTCCTGGTACTTGACAACAGATAGCTTGAAATGGACAAAGTCTTTTTCACATCCTCTGTTTCTCAAATGCTTTTCCAAATTAAATAAATAACTTTTACTTTATAATATTTACAGAGTACTGTGACTGAATGTCTTGAATTTAAACACTCTTTTTGAAGCGTATCTCTCAAAGGTTTGGCAGCCTTGATCTGTAAAAAAAAAAAGAAAAGAAAAATCTCTATTAATCTCTAAAACTTAGAACAATCATAATTGAAAAATGTACTTTGCTACAAAATAATTACAAAATAACTTACGCACATGTATAAAAAACAAATCTCCCTAAATGACAGATTTCTTAACCAACATAAAATCTTAAATGAATGGAATCTTTGATAATGATGTTCAACACACTCAGTTGTCAAAGCTGAATTAAGCATCTAAGTTAAAAAAAAAAAAATCAAGGCTTAAATAGTACATGCAGGATCATATGATCCTGTCCACAAGTTTCAATGAACTAAAGTATATGTTAACATTCAGTTGAAGTTACCCCAACATATGTACGTATTTTTTTTAAATCAAGAACACAGTCAATGTCAGCTATTTAACATAGAGAAATAAAATTGTTTATCTAGATGCACCCCCTTTCTTTTCTTATGTAGATTTTCCTTATATACATGTATATGCATACAAGTTATTAATCCTAAATCACTTTTTGACCCGAGAACAGCTGCAAGATAATTTTCAATAGGTTGCTTCTCCTTATGTGCATGTGCTCCTTTTCATGAAGTTTTCTTTAGTTAAATTTCTCAAGATTTTTCAGATTAATTTTTTGGTTAACAAATAGTACTGTGTCATACAAAACTCACAACTCCTCTCATATTTTACCTTATCTTCCTTTTGTTAACAAAATCCACTTTTCCAACATCTCTCTCTGCAGTGAGTCTATCATTAAGTCATTAACTTGTCTTGTCTCCAATACAAAAGTTTTCCTACACAACAGGTATATAAAAAAATAACAACCTTCATACATGTAAGTTGATATGAAAATATTAAATGTACATACATTGTAATTTATTGAAAAAAATAATTCTAACCTGGACAACTTTTAGCTTGGTTGGCATTGTTATCATCTCTGTTGGCATAATGTAATCTGAACTTTCTAATTTACCCTTCTATCAGGTGGCTATAGTTGCTCGACACATACCAATTTTTTATCCATTTCCTGAAAAAAATGAAATTCTAATTTACTATGTGTATTAAAATGTTATTCCTTTTAAAAAGAAACTTACACTAGTGATTCAGGGGACCTAGGTTCAAATCCTGGTTTGGTCCATCCCATATTTATTTGGTGCCATTGATCACCCCTCGACTTGCAGGTAAAAGGCTTGCCAGGGGTAAAAAGAACTTGAGTTGTGTCTTCAAGGGCAAATACAATTTAAGGAGGGAGGAATTTGGCGATCAGACAGGCTTGATCCCCATCGCCAGATCACTCAGTTAATAAACATGCTAAAGCACCTGATTAGTGATACAGAGGGCTGGGTTCAAATCCTGTTCTTGCTTATGCAGCATTTTCCTGTTACACACCTAATGTCAATGGCAGAGAAATTCAACTTTCCTGTCATCAATAGACAAATATTTTGGTGACTAATTGTCTGAGTTCAGCTATAATTGGTACATGTTAAATTAAACTTTTTACCTCAAAGGCTAAGAACATACAAATTACAGTTTTCTTAGAGACAGTATACTAGGCAATCTGGATACATTTCCTTTGTCTGACATGGAAAAAAACTCCCATATTCATGACAGGTTTTCTTAATTTTTCACTGAAAATAACAGCTTAAAATATGATTTTTTTAAATCTTGTTTACCTAAAAGTTATGCCCAATACACCTTATTTGACCAAGTTATAGTCATTAAAGGAATCTATTTCTCAAATTAAAGAAATTGTAGGCTCCTTTCATTTACTAATTCTTGACCTTAAGAAAAAACTGCAACAAATATGTTTCAAAAATTGACAGAAAAAGTGATGTCGGCCATCCATATGGAACAGCGCCCAATCATAAAATTATGTATTATCTAAAATATGGTTGAAACGATGTCAGAGACAAACTAATTGTTCATTGACAAACATCTAAAAATTATTAGAATATATTTAGGTCATTGATTTGAAATTGGTACATATGATTTTTCAAAGGAGAGTACATTTTGAAAGACAGTACAAAAAGTGGAAAACTACTGTTACTGTTATTTGATGAAAATAAAATTATGACATGATTATATAATAGTGTTGTAATTTGCATGCACTATGCCTAAATAGTAGTCAGGGTTTGACACATGGTGCACGAGCCGGAGGCGAGTGCACTATGTGTCAAACCCTGACTACTATTTAGGCATAGTGCATGCAAAGTACATCACTATTGTTATTATTATGCTGACTGCTGTATAAAAACGACAACATCTTCTCCATTTCCAATGTTTCATCACTTCTTACATTCATGTTAGTACACCCCTATCATGACGTCACATTGTGCTACATGTACATTATCTTTTTTCTTTAATTTTGAATGATCCATGTACAGATCTATGTAGTTTCAGAGAATTTTAGTTGAGTGAAGGGGAAAAAATTGCAAGAAACTATTTTAGAAAATTAATATGTTTATTTTTTTTTCTTTAAGTGTAAAATATTTGAAACTAAGTTTATATATATTATAATACAGTGCTTTAGACAATGTCGTCTGTGGCGTAATCGGTAGCGAGTCAGACTGATGATGTCGGGGTCGTGAGTTCGATCCATGGCGTGGGAGCTGTTGGATTTTTTTCAGAAAAAGAAGCCACGCACTAGCTATTTCGGCATAGTATGTTTACGATATATAATTCCTTAGAACACTATGCGAAAATAGTTGGGTATTGATTATATAGAGACAAACTGACAGGATGCATAATAATGTGTAATAAATAAAACGCAACATCGGATTGGGCTCTGCAGCTATATACAGGAAGTGTGCATACTGATGATACTCTTAAATTATCGTTTATTGAATTTTAAAAATTTACTCCATTATGGTCTATATGTAAATATCACACACACACTAGCAGTGCATGTGGCTAAATCAAGAAAAAATTGTATGTGCACCACAAATACTTGATAATCATAGGTAATAAGAGATAACAGAGCTCACCTCAACGAATGTTGTCTTTAAGTAAGGCAAAGTCCCACACTAAACTAATAATCTAGTAGTCTGCATCCCTACATGTAACATTTATGCAATTTTAGTCTAATAGGGCTTGCAGTTACTTGAGAATGGACTTACCTAAAAAATTTAAACTAGTCACTCATCCAGAAAATGTAAGTCAAATCCACCATCTGAAGCAAGTTTGAGAGTGTTTATCCCATGATGCATCATCATGCAAGTTTGGTCCAGATTGCCCTTATAATTTCTTGGTAATGGACCTGTTAAAAATCTTTAAACCTGGTCACTTATCTGGAAAATGTAGGTCAGATCCAACATCTGAAGCAAGTCCAGTAATGTGCATCCTTAGATGTATCATCCATGCAAGTTTGGTTAACACCAGGCTTATAGTTACTATGAAATGAAATCTGCTCCAAAAACTTTATCCTGGTCACTCATCCGGAAGGAAAATGTAGGTCATATTCAGCATCTGAATGAAGTCAGGTATAGTGTGCATCCTAAGATGTATCATTTGTACAAGTTTGTTCAACCTAGGGCTTATAGTTACTTGGAAATGAAACCTGCTTAATAAAAAACTTTAATCTGGTCACTCATCTGGAAAATGTAGGTCAGATACAGCAATTGAAGCAAGTCCGGTAGTGTGCATCCTTATATGTATTATCCATGCAAGTCTGGTCAATATAGGGCTTATAGTTACTTGGAAATGCTCCTTTTAGCTGAATTTGCAGCATCTGAAATCTTTACTGGTATAATGAAACATACTAGAAGCATCCTTCATGCATCTCTGATTAATATAGGGCATTGAAGTACAGCTGACCTTCTGTTTTTTGAACACGGATGCATCTCAAATACCATGGATATGTCGAAGTTATATTTTGAAGTCCCATCTGCTTATTCCTTAAGTATTTTACCCTGAATATCTTAAATCCTTGGTTATCTCAAAGTATTTTCTTTGTCCCTTTGAGTTCGAGATAACGAGGTTTGACTGTACTTGAAAAGAAATCTGCTCCAAAAACTTTAACCTGGGATGCGGACGCCTGCACTGACGGTATTACATAAGCTCCCCAACTTCGTTGAGGTGAGCTAAAAATTCAAAATCCATATTCTTGACGTTATCATGAAACTAACTTAATGGCATACTGGGCTGTGCAGCTTGTATAAACAATCTATTCACACCTATAATTTTTGTGAAATAGTGTATATTGTTTAATTTTTATATATTTACTAAATCATGGTCTATATTAAAATTATGTTGTAAACATTTGGCAGAGTGGTCAATATCAAGAAAATTATGGCATTTGTCTCAGAACTTTCTGGACAACCCTCATACAAGTACTCCTTTAACTCAAAAATCTTTATTAAGGTCATGGAATACCCAATTTTCATCTAGAATGTCACAATGATCTGCAAAACTCAAAAGGAAAAAAAATGGTGGTACAATTTGGTGAATGAAAATGTATCAAACAAAAATCTAGCATAAAACCCATTATTAAGGTGACCAGAGATATATATATGATCCTTGAAATTTAAAATCTTTATTAAGGTGACCAGGTATTCAGGGTTGTCCATAAGAACTGAAATAGAAAGAGGACATTTTAAAAGTGGAAGGCTGTCTTGGATTCCCCTGCTAGTGAGGGTTGAGGGGGCAATGCAAGAATAACTGGGGGATTATGTCATTACAGGCGGCAAATTTACCTGGCCCCTGAATCTTGAGAACAACCTTGGGTATTCTGCATTTAAGCAACATGATTCCTCACTATTCCTTAACATTGAAGAATAAAACATCCTTAAAAATCAAAAATCTAGCTTACATGCATTAACCCATCATTAAGGGGACCAGAGATATATGCATGATTCTTGAACTTTAAAATCTTTATTAAGGTGACCAGGTATTCAGGTTTGTCCATAAGAACTGAAATAGAAAGGGGACATTTCAAAAATGGAAGGGTGTCTTGGATTCCTCCTCTAGTGGGGTTTGAGGAAGCAATGCCAGAATGACAGGGGGATTAAGTAATTACAGATGGGGAATTTCCCTGGCCCCCACATCTTGAGCACAACCTTGGATATTCTATATTTAAGCATGTAAAACATTAATCAATTACATTTAAGCAATGATTCCTCACTTTTTCTTAAAACTGATGAATAAACTAATCCTATAAATCAAAAATCTAGCTTACATGCATGAAACTATCATTAAAGCTGACATGAATTCTTAAAAGCGCAACATTTGCATCAATGTATGACTTGTTTCATACCAACTAGCCGTATTCTGCCATATTTCTTTCAGATACCTTGTCTTATTGTAACAATATATACCCCAATGCCCTCGTTACACTTGAGTGAGTTTTTGGTTTGGCTATCGACGCGTGCACATCTCCGACAGTAAAGTATCTGGGAACACATGAATTGATGAAAACATTTCAAAACCACAGCAGATATTAAAACAGTCATAAAGATATTTATAAGTATCGTTTTGAATAATATAAATGCAAGTTTGGAAGAAAAAAACATAGTTGTGCATGTTTTTTAAAAGCATGCCAATATACAGATATATAGCATAATTAACTTGGAATAATTCACAGTAAAAATTGTACAAACAATTTGCAATTATCTATTGTAAGAATGGAACAAACAACCAGCATATCTGATATGCATGTCCATATGCAAATATAATGGTGCATACCGAGAGAACGCGTCGAACGCTGTAAACTTATTCATACATGGAAAATAGACCACTGTACCCGTTCGAAGATGTGCACATGCCGAGTGATTTACACCTTGTATTTCATTGAAATATGCATCGCAGAAAAGTAATAAACTCTATAAATACTCAACAGTAAAGACGTTGTCATGTCATCATACAGCCTAGCACTCAAATACACTTAGTCCGTGCTGATCAGATTTTGGTCAGCTAGGGAAAATATCAAAAGTGAGAAGGGGAATTAGTATTTACGCGACTGGATAAAAAATAAGAAATCATTAAAAAAAAGTCTGATTGCTGTTCATGAAGTGAAACTGAAAATTGTCTAGA